TATAAGAGGTAAGATAAGCCGGATAGTCTTCTTGGCCTAGTGTTGACGAAAGCCTTTTACAAGAATGACACCCAGCTCTGATGATCTTTATCATATGATGGACGAAAGCTCAGCACGTTTTCACACGAAACGAGGGAGAAAGTCCCGTGGACTGCGTCAACATGTATATCGTATAAAATCCAACCGGCTGCAGTACGAGTTTCATCCGTCCTCATCTGGTAAGATCGACCAAGGAATCTCTTCTTCATGCACTTGCATACTAAATGAAGGTCCCCCTAACAATGATTGATCGTCATTCTGTATTTCGCGTCGACCAATCAAAGCTCGGTACCGCACCGTCCAATCAGAAGTTGCTATGGTAAACCACGCAAGAGTATATCAGGTAGCTAACATGTTGTTTAGGTTGGTCATGTTTTTTTCCTCTTTCTCCCCTACACTGCGACCCACGGACTTTAGACTTTTCTTTTGTCAGACCGTATGTTAATACTATTTTTCATTTTCTCTTTTCGTTTCGGGGTCTTCAAATTTGTAGTTGTGAGGTGCAAGCGTTTTATAAGTAGTAAATGCATGATTATTATAAAGAAAACGAAAAAATGAAATGAAAACCTTTAAATGAATATAAGAGGAAAAGCTTGTGTAGAAAATGAATGTTAGGCTAAAATTATCTTCGACTTTACCCAGCTCCAGACTATAACCTGGAAACGAAAAACAGCAAGCAACAATGCAAATATCAACATATCAGAAAATATAATGAATAACAATGAATATGTAAAAGTTAGAAATCGGACAATATGAGAATACTTGTTAACTTTTATAATAGTATCTATAAACCCCGCAAGCTCATAACTAGTGGTCATTAATTTCTAGCAATACATATTTGGCACTAAAGGATTCAGGCTTTGGTGTATGTATGAAAGCAAAGTTATTATGATATAAAAAATAAATGTTAGTCTGTAATTTCGTGCATGCCTTAATGTTAGAACAAACAAAACTAGTATTAAAAGATAAACCAGAAAAAAGGATGTAATATAATCATTTAGTATGTTCGTCTTTATAAAAACCACATATTTATAGTAAATTGCTTAGCGAGGGTTTGATCTCGTTTTGGCCATAGTATTTGTGATTCTTAGCATCGAATCATTGACTTGGTACACTTATAAAAGTTTACCTGGCATGGTCAGTGAGAGGTGCCATCATCCACTGACTATGTGGACGAAACGCTTTGGAATGTACTAAGTCAATGGTCCGATGCTGGACATCACGAATACTATGGCAGAGGACACAGGACTAGGTACGTTCCACAAAATCTCCCTAACGCTCCAACCAAGTTAAGAAAGTGAGGTCGAATCAACACCATAAAGCTAAAGGAGACTGCGACCAAACACAAAGCCACATAATCTTGGTCTTCTTAGTTCACAATCTTAATGACGCGGTTCTTGAATAAAATATCAGCTAAAATTTGGATGCTTTAAAATGTCATCCTATGCACTTAATTGACTTAAAGTTATCACAAGAAATTTCATAATTACGCATATAATTTACACTAAATCTTGGTTCTATAAGCACCAACTGCCACGCATAAATAAATGAATTATCCAGATCCTTTTAGGCAGCAATAAGTCAGAATAAACATTTTCAAATTTTTTATAGATCAAAGTTTCTATAATAATGATATTCTGGGATAAGCATGCCATATGACGAAAAAAGGGCTAGTAAAACTTTATAAAAACCAACCCGGGTAATGCAGCGTATGTTTATATACTGCGATAAATTGGTACGGATGCTAGTGCCATTACCTTCGAGTAAGTAAAGCTCTTATTCGAGATCTACTTGTAGTATCGAAACCTACTCAATATAATGTATAAGTAATAAAAATAACTGTGGTATCAGATACAGGTTTGCTTGATCGACAAAGACCACTACAAAAATGTGATATAAGAAAGATAAAATGAACCTCGAAATCTATGTTTGTCACACAACGGTACTCGTGGCAATGTGGTATGGTGGTAATATGTGCAAAACATATGCTGAATTGCTCTGGCTGGATTCCAGTTGAGAGTGCTGATAAGGCCTAGGCGAGGTCAGCACTTCAGCCCATTCTAGATGAGAATACCTTAGTTGAAGCAAAGCTAAGAATCAATGACATCAAAAGGTGTATTTATCTAATTTTACGTTGTGTGTAAATTTTCGACACAGCTCAAATATTTATCTAATCCACTAAAATTACATCTCACTACTTCATCATCTCAAGTGATTAAAGCTTTGGTATCTTTCGGTTTCAGTCCAGGTCAAGGTTATGAATCCCTTTCAACCACCTTTTAAGATGAAGTGGACGCAATGAAAAAGGAAATCCAGTAGCGGAGTCTTTGCAACTAAATTTCATTACATATCTAAGCATACGAATAATTTCATCTAAATATGAATCAATCCAAGCCTTGAAATATAAGCTTACCAAGTGGCGCCCTATCCAAGCCGGTAGAGGGCTTTGAACAACGACAGAGCATATAAAGCGGTA